GTGCATTTTATTAATTAACCCCTTAAGACCGCAGGGCGTTCTATGCCGTCCCTATTTTGATGGCTCTAAACGCCGCAGGGCGGCATAGAACGCCCTGCGATCTTATGTACTTACCCGGTCGCTGGCGATCCCACGCCAGCGATCGCGGTATGGGCACTTACCTGGGAGCCCAGGGAGTCCCCCTCCATCCTCTTCGGCCTCCCTGGGACCTCGTGATCACATGGACGGCATAGCCATTGCAATACCAGCAGGGGGAGTGCCTGTAATGACAGGTATTCCCTCTGCTGACTGAAAATGAAATAAAATAAGTTAAAACAGTGTAAAAATAAATAATATATACTTAGATCATATATATATTTATACACATATACACACGTACACATAAATATACATACACTGTCTAAGTGTATTTTAATATTAATATATATATATATTAATATCAAAATACACAATATACACTTACAATGATATTGATTAAATATATATATAATTTTCTTTATATATAATTATATAATAAAAAATAAATAAATATGTAAATACGTTAAACTTTTTTTTTTTACAAAAATAATAAAAAAATAAATAAATATATATACATGTGTAATTTCATTCTAACTGTATTTTAAAATTAATATATATAGAAGGCTTGGCCTGGAATTGTGGGAGGTACATTTTTTCCCCTATATAAACTACAACAAACCCAGCTTACCTGTCATTGACGTTCCCGGAAGTGCCCCTCCCACCGCACCCTCAATTCATTTACATTTATACTAGGTGGGCCCTCTTTTACAGGCCTAACCTCACGTCAGTTTCCGCACACCTCAACTGACTTGCTACTTCTTATACTGCTTGTTTTACTATCATTGCCTTACGTCCTCGTAATGTGCCGTACACAAATATATATATTGATATCAAAATACATGTAGAACAAAATAATATATATATATCTATATACATAAGTATATACGTATATATATACCTTTATAAATAACATATATATATATATATATATATATATATATATATATATACACGCGTGTATATATATAAATTCTACGTATATATTTATGTAATAATTTTACATAATTAGGTCATTTTATTAATTACAATTTGCAGGACCTGTCTGACAACCCAGGCCGAAAGTTCAGGGAATTTACTTTGCTAGCACTATATTTAACCCTGTAACGTTCCAAGACACCATAAAACCTGTACATGAGGGTACTGTTTTACTCGGAAGACTTTGCTGAACACAAATATTAGTGTTTCAAAACAGTAAAATGTATTACAAAGACGATATTGTCAGTGACAGTGACATTTTTTTTTATTTTTCACACACAAATGGCACTTACACTGATGATATAATTGTTGTGATGCGTTTTACTGTTTTGAAACACTAATATTTGTGTTAAGCGAAGTCTCCCGAGTATAACAGTACCCCTCATGTACAGGTTTCAGAGGCGGCTCTCTAATTAGGCGGTTTAGGCGGCCGCCTAAGGCCTTGCACTGGCAGGGGCCTCGCGGCCGCCTAAACCGCCTGTCGGTAGTCAGTGACTGAGGACCCGAAACCAGGAGGGGGCCTGGCCGCCGGGTGCGAGGCCCCTCATGGCTGCCCGGCCAGCCACCGCAGACACCGGTCTGCAGCTCCGCAGTGAGCAGAGCTTCAGACCATGTGTCTCGCGAGAACTGGCCAATCAGAGCGTTGCCGCGGGTTACCATAGCAACGCTCTGATGGTCTTGTGAGATTACATGGTCTGCAGCTCTAAGGAGCTGCAGACTGGAAATGATGGCCACCGGACCACCAGGAAAATTAAGGTATGCAGTCCCCCACCCCCACCATCCCCCACCATCACCCCAACCCTTAGTATCAACCCCCTCTCTCACCATCAGCCCCCACCATCACCCCAACCTCCCTCCCTCAGCTTCACCCCCCCCTCACCACATCAGCCCCACCTTCACCCCAACCCCCTCCCTCCCTCACCATCCCACCATCACCTCAGCCCTCAACCTCCCTCCCTCACCATCAGCCCCATCACCTCAGCCTCCCTCCCTCACCATCACCTCAGCCTCCTCTCTCACCATCAGCCCCCACCATCACCCCTAACCCTCCTCCTCACCATCGGCCCCACATCACCTCGACCTCCCTCCCTCACCATCAGCCCCACCATCACGTCAGCCTCCCTCCCTCACCATCAAGCCCCCCGCTCGCCTCAATCTCCCTCCTCACCATCAGCCCCCCCCATCACTCAGCCTCCTCCCTCACCATCAGCCCCCCACCATCCTCAGCCTCCCTCCCCTCACCATCAGCCCACCCCACCACATCACGCCAACCCCTCTCCCTCACCATCAGCTCCCACCATCACCCCCAACCTCCCTCACCATCAGCCCCAACATCACCCCAACCTCCCTCCCTCAGCATCACCCCCCTCCCTCACCATCAGCCCCCACCATCACCTCAACCTCCCTCCCTCAGCATCACCCGCCACCATCACAACCCCCCCTCCTCAGTATCATCCCTCCTCAACATCACCCACCACCATCACCCCAACCTCCCTCCCCTCAGCATCACCCCCCCTCACCATCAGCCCCACCATCCCTTAACCTCCCTCCCTCAGCATCACCCCAACCCACTAGTAATTTCCTCCTTGGTATCACCCCCCTCACCATCAAGCCCCTCCCTCACCATCACCTCCACCCGCAGCATCACCCCTCCCGCATCACCCCACTCTCTCAGCATCGCTCCCCTCCCTCAGCATCAACCACACCCTCATCCCAACCCCCCTTCATCAGCATCACCCCCTCCCTCAGCATCACCCCCACACCCTCATCCCAGCCCCCTTCAGCAGCATCACCCCTCTCCTCAGCATCCACCCCTCCTCATCAACCCTCCTTCCTCACCATCCCCCTCTCCCTCACCATCAGCCCTCTCTCACCATCTCCTCTCATCACCATCTCCCTCTCATCCCCCCCTCTCCCTCTCATCACCCCCCGCTCCTCCCTCTCATCCCCCCCTGCTCACAGAGACATACATTCACACACACACACACACACACACACACTCTGTCAGACAGACTCTCAGGCACATACACAGGTAAACTGTGCATCAATGTGTATATGTGACAGTGTGCATGTATTGCAACTATTTTTTTTTTCACTTTTTTGTTAGTGGGGCCTCATGTTTGAGTTTCGCCTAAGGTCTCATAAAGTCTAGAACCGCCTCTGACAGGTTTTATGGTGTTTTCAAAAGTTACAGAGTCAAATATAAGTCAATAATATTGTGTTTCATTTTTTTCTCATTAAAATTTGCCAGGTTGGTTATTTTGCCTTTGAGACCGTACGGTAGCCCAGGAATGAAAATTACCTCCATGATTGCATACCATTTGCAATAGTAGACAACCCAGGGTATTGCAAATGGAGTATGTTCAGTCTTTTTTAGTAGCCACTTAGTCACAAACACTGGCCAAAATTGGCTTTCAAATTAGCTTTTTGCATTTTCAAATATTAACACTAACTTTGGCCAGTGTTTGTGACCAAGTGGCTACTAAAAAAGACTGGACATACCCCATTTGCAATACCTTGGGTTGTCTACTTTTGCAAATGGTATGCCATCATGGGGGTAATTCTTATTCCTGGGCTACCATATGGTCTCAAAGGCAACGTAGCCAATCTGGCGAATTTCAGTGTGAAAAAACTGAAAAATGTAACACATAGAAACATAGAAACATAGAATGTGACGGCAGATAAGAACCACTCGGCCCATCTAGTCTGCCCAATTTTCTAAATACTTTCATTAGTCCCTAGCCTTATCTTATAGCTAGGATACCTTATGCCTATCCCACGCATGCTTAAACTCCTTTACTGTGTTAACCTCTACCACTTCAGCTGGAAGGCTATTCCATGCATCCACTACCCTCTTAGTAAAGTAATACTTCCTGATATTATTTTTAAAACTTTTTCCCTCTAATTTAAGACTATGTCCTCTTGTTGTGGTAGTTTTTCTTCTTTTAAATAGAGTATCCTCCTTTACTGTGTTGATTCCCTTTATATATTTAAATGTTTCTATCATATCCCCCCTGTCTCATCTCTCCTCCAAGCTATACATGTTAAGATCCTTTAACTAGTGATGTCCCGAACAGTTCGCCGAACGGTTCGCCGAACAGTTCGCCACAGACGGCGAACATAAACAGAAACTTTGACCCTGTACCTCACAGTCAGCAGACACATTCCAGCCAATCAGAGCATCCCTCCCAGACCCTAACACTAACTTTGGCCAGTGTTTGTGACCAAATGGCTACTAAAAAAGACTGGACATACCCCATTTGCAATACCTTGGGTTGTCTACTATTGCAAATGGTATGCCATTATGGGTGTAAATTTCATTCCTTGGCTACTATACAGTCTCAAAGGCAACGTAACCAATCTGGCGAATTTCAATTTCAAATGTAACGTGTTATATTTGACCCTGTAACTTCCCAAAACGCCATAAAACCTGTACATGGGGGGTACTATTTTACACGTGAGACTTTGCTGAATACAAATATGTGTATTTTATTGCAGTAAAAGCAAACAGTATTATGACATTGACAGTTAAAATGTTATGTAGAACTAAAAAAATTTAAATAAATCTTATTTTCTCCCATTTGTTTCATATTATATTATGTTTCATAGCTAAATATTTGATAGTAAATGAAAGCCCTGTTTCCCCTGAATAAAATGATATATAATGAGGGTGGGTGCATTTACTATGAAAGAGGTGAATTACGGTTGGACAGACATGTAGGGCAAATGCCAGGTTTTGTTTACATTTTGTTTTGTTCACAACGTGTACATTTGGCTCCGTCCTTAAGGGGTTATTATTATTATTATTATTATCATTTATATAGCGCCAACAGATTCCGTAGCGCTTTACAATATTTTGAGAGGGGGGATGTAACAATAAATAGGACAATTACAAGAAAACTTACAGGAACAATAGGTTGAAGAGGACCCTGCTCAAACGAGCTTACAGACTATAGGAAGTGGGGTATTAGAAACATTAGGACAAGAAATATCAAGTAGGAGTGAAGCAGAGCTGGAGGAGAGGGCAAAGCACTGTCCCATAGGAGAGAGCAGGAGACAGGTATGTAAGGTAGATATTACTCTGGGAGGCCATAAGCTTTCCTGAAGAGATGGGTTTTAAGGCCCTTCTTAAATGATTGAAGACTAGGGGAGAGTCTGATGGCAGTAGGCAAGCTATTCCATAGGAGAGGAGCCACCCGCGAGAGGTCCTGCAAGCGCGAGTTGGCCGTACGGGTGCGAGCAGCGGTCAGGAGGTGGTCACGGGCAGAGCGGAGGGTACGAGGAGGGGCATATCTATGGATTAGTGAAGAGATATAAGTGGGGCTAGAATTGTTCAGTGCTTTAAATGTGTGGGTTAGCACTTTGAATTGACTCCTATAGCATACAGGGAGCCAATGTAAGGACCGGCAGAGGGGTGAGGTGTGAGAGGACCGACTAGAGAGGACGATCAGTCTAGCTGCAGCATTCATGACAGACTGTAGCGGGGCAATACGGCTTTTGGGGAGACCAATCAGGAGAGGGTTACAGTAATCCATGCGGGAAATAACTAGAGCATGGACAAGCTCCTTGGTAGCATCTTGTGTAAGAAAGGGGCGAATGCGGGCTATGTTTTTGAGTTGGAACCTACAGGACTTGGCAACAAACTGGATGTGAGGCTCAAAGGTGAGACCAGAGTCAAGTATGACGCCAAGACAGCGCGCTTGCAGGGATGGACTTATGTGGATATCACTGAGTTGAAGGGAGAGCGAGAGAAGAGGATCAGTATTAGGAGGAGGAAAGACAAGGAGTTCAGTTTTAGAAAGGTTAAGTTTCAGAAAGCGTGAGGACATCCAGTCAGAGATGGAAGAAAGGCAAGCAGTGACACGTTGCAGGACGGCAGGGGAGAGGTCCGGGGAGGAGAGGTATATCTGAGTGTCATCAGCATACAGGTGGTAGTGGAATCCAAAAGAGGCAATAAGTTTACCTAGAGAGGCAGTATAAAGAGAAAATAGGAGGGGACCAAGGACAGACCCTTGGGGAACTCCAACCGAGACAGGACGAGGGGAGGAGGTATCATTGGAAAAGGAGACACTGAATGAGCGTTGGGAGAGATAGGAGGAAAACCAAGAGAGGACAGAGTCACAGAGACCGAGCGATTGAAGAGTTTGAAGGAGGAGAGCATGATCAACGGTGTCAAAGGCAGCAGAGAGGTCAAGGAGAATTAATATGGAGTAGTGACCTTTGGATTTAGAGGAGATTAGGTCATTAGTCACTTTGATAAGAGCAGTCTCAGTAGAGTGGAGAGGGCGGAAGCCAGACTGAAGAGGGTCAAGGAGAGAGTTGGAATTAAGGAAGCGAGACACACGGGTAAAGACAAGTCTTTGCAAAAGCTTTGATGAGAAAGGGAGCAGGGATATGGGACGATAGTTAGAAGGGGAGGATGGGTCAAGAGATGTTTTTTTTTTTCAGGATAGGTATTACAGTGGCATGTTTAAGGTCAGCAGGAACAGTGCCAGAAGAGAGAGAGCAGTTAAAGATGTGTGTTAGGGTAGGCACAAGACAAGGGGAGAGAGATCTGATGAGGTGAGTTGGGACAGGATCGAGCGGGCAAGTGGTGGGGCGAGAGGAATGGAGAAGCGCAGCCACCTCTTGTTCAGTAGCCGGGTAGAAAGTCTGGAGGGTAGGGAAAGCAAGATTTACATGTGGTTGAGAAAGAGAACGGCAAGGAGGGGAGAATTGTTTCCTTAGCTGTTCAATCTTGTCGGTAAAGTAGCATGCAAAGCTATCAGCTGTAAGGTTAGTTTGGGGGGTGGCCACAGCAGGGCGGAGAAGGGAATTAAAGGTGTCAAAGAGGCGTCTGGGATTGCGGGAGCATGATCTAATGAGAGAGGAAAAGTATGACTGTTTGGCGAGGGCGAGGGCTGCGCTGTATGAAAGCAGCATGAATCTATAATGGAGAAAGTCTGCCTGGGTGCGGGACTTCCTCCAGGAGCATTCAGCACAACGGGAGCAACTCTGCAGATAGCGTGTTGATTTATTATGCCATGGTTGGGGACGTGTCCGCCTTGAGGTGCATGTTTTGAGAGGGGCTGCAGCGTTCAAGGCAGATGTGAGGGTAGTGTTGTATGTGGAGATGGCCAGTGAGGGACAGGAGATGGAAGGGATGGATAGCAGTTGTGAATCAATGTCAGCTGACAGCTGCTGGAAGTCAATAGAGTTAAGGTTCCTCCTGAGCTGAGGGGGGTTAGGCTGAGATTGTTGGGTGAGGGGGTAATTGAGAGCAAACGATAAGAGGTGGTGATCAGAGAGAGGAAATGGAGTGTTGCAGATATTAGATATTGTACATGAATAAGAGAAAATAAGGTCGAGGGTATTGCCTGCTACATGAGTGGGAGAATTAGCCCACTGCAAAAGTCCAAGGGAGGAAGTGATTGAAAGAAGTTTAGAGGCTGCTGGGGTTAAAGGTGGGTTAACGGGAATATTGGGGTTAAGCGAGTATTTGTTTGTTAAACTGCAGCCACTAAGTTTGGTCCTATTTTTTTCATGTCTCAATGTTTGTTGAAGTTTTGGCATAAAAAACACAATAAACAGTATTGTGATGAAAACAAAAAGAAAAGGTATTAAAGGTATTAAAGAGCACATTGTATTGGTTGTCAATGCATGTTATACATTTCAGGATGTAGTAATCCATAGCACTGCAAATGTCCCTCCCATTCATGCAAAGTGTGAAAAAGTCAGTTGCATACACACTGACAAATCATACACAATATTCCCATAAATCCTTAACACTCCGGTACTGAAGCTGTACAGCTTAGCAGTATTCATCTCTGGGCCCAGATCACCCCGCCTAAGCCCCTTACACCTTAGGAAGAATTGCTTTGAGAGTGAGTTGCTGCTGTCTGCTCCTCGTTTGCCAAAACCTTAAAGGTGTTTGGCCATTGTGGCAAAAATAACCTCGCCACTGGGTTCTGGAGCGGCCTGGTTGCTCGCCTTTTGCCTCAGGATTATGGCCCTGTGGTGTATGGCCCTTTAAAACTGTTATATGGGCATATTGACACTTTTTGTTACAATGCCCTTTTAAGACTGTGTCCCCAGACTTTAAAAATACCTTGTTTATATCTTTTTCCTATATGGTTCAGTAAAAGGGGCTTACTGAACCAATTACCGAACAGGCAGACTACACACAAGTGGAAGTGTGCAGCCTATTTACCTCCTAGGCTGGTGGTTAACCGCAGGTTAATTGCCGACCGCTGGGTGGCTGCCGTTCGTACAGTCGAATACGTGGCGGTGGCCATCTTTGTTTAGTCGAACGAGGTCAGCGGTGTTTTGCTGTCGAACTCATGGAACTGAAATCGCCTACACAACGGCACGAACACCGCTGACCCTTACCTTATCTGCAACTTCGACGCTTCGGCTAAAATAGAAGTGCATTCGACGATTCGAACGCCCTGTTATACTGGCCTATTTGCAAAAACGGCACCCGTTCGTACATTCGTCATTTTTCTGTGTAAAATAGACTGACCGCAAAGCCTAAATATATGGAACTCTTTTGGGCAGGAAAGCCATGCTTGCGGTCGATCAAATAGGACTTCCACCTAACTTTTAAACCACTGGAGGGAATTGTATTTTTGAGTATGTTTGTATATGGAGAATGCTGATTCAGAATATGTAACTTTATGGAGATTGCATGTATATTTTGGGAGTTATGAATATTGTATGAAACTGTATATTTTCCTGCCTGTGATAATTAAGTTAACAAATTGTGTACAGTAATTATATCACAGGCAGAGGTTTGTGTGCCTTAACCAGGAATGTCTGACTGTATTGTAATGTGTTTGATTGGTTGTTCGACAAGACCACGTGGGTGGTAACCTTGTGGGGAAACTTGCATATAAGACAATGAACCCTCAGACTGCTGAGATTCCTGCTTGACCCCCCAATACAGAGCCTTGTCTCGTACTTGGGGGGGGGGGGTTACTCGTGTGTTTTCCTATTCGGTGCTTAGGAGTGTTCGGTAGCTGACCTTGTATTCGGGAAGGGAACGTCTTTGGCGGCGTTAACCCCTTCTATACCTGGGGTGCCGTTACACCCACCATTCCCATAGTTGACTGGCAAAAGCACCAACACATGCATCACCACATAACCATATGCTTTGGAGCCCCTTGCAAAACGTGGAGGTTTGGGCCTATTTTAAACACAGTGGCTAGATGTTTTCATCCTAGTATTCATATGGACATGTAGGGAAGCACACAGATGTTATTATAGACCTTTCAAAAGACAGGTAATTAAAATGTCATGAAACCCCCATTACGTCCATTAATATCTAAGATGGTTGTGTAATGAACTCTATAAGAGAATGTAACCCTTCTTTATCCCTAGTCTACAAGACTATAACTTCATCAACTAAATTTTAGGATGGACTACTATCCCAGGAATGGCAGGCTTCAGTGTATGAGAGACAGAATACTGTAGGCTATTACTTGAATAGATGGATATCCCCAACATGAAAAAGATTGTCACCAACTCATTTAGATTTAAAAAAGACATAAGGTCCCAAAAAAGCTCAGATATGCAGATATGCTTATTTTACGCAGTTATAGATCACCACTGGATTTGTGGCTGTTGTGGACTCTCCTTCACAATATGCTCGCTCTCTCATATGATGGAAACCAAACTTCAAGACAATCTTTAAAATACTGTAAATCAAAGTAGTTCATATATTTATCATTGGACTTAGTCGAATAGAGCCCAGTGATTGTTGTTTAAAAGCAAGTATCCCAATCAGTTAAATGTGTGCATTAATAACACATTCCCAGAATTAAGAGAAAGTGAGGAAAAAGCTTCCAGGCACTTTTAGAAAATGACTCTACTAAATGTATTCACTGATAAACCAATGGAGTTGACCTTGGGGCATTGAGCTTGTTAATCACCTGTCTTTCTTACCTGTCTGACTTCAATCTCAAGGCTTGCAATAGCTACCTGCTCCAGCAATGTTCCCACCTGAAAGTAATTTGAACTAATCATCTGTTAATTAACTGGATATGCATACCTCTCTACAGTTTAAGCATGGGTGGCATGTGTGGTGGATTGGGGGGACGGGGACGAATGTCTTGCGCCAGGGCCCTTTCTACATTAGTTCCACCATTAGTGTATTCTACTAGTTTCTTACTGTCCCTCCAAACCTGTGGCTGGTGATTGAGAATTT